TTCACACACAGCAACTCAGCAAACAGTGAAGGTCTTGCTTGTAGTTGAGACGCCAGGGTGACAAGGTGAGTAGATCAAACATTGATTCTGAGAACACAGTTTGCAGCTCATATGGAAAGTTTATATCACTGCGGCAAGGCCAGATCTGACACTGAGTACGCAGTGACAGCAATTGCTGAGCAAATGCGCAAAGATCCAAGACTCTTGTGTTTCACACCATGAAATCAAAGAAACACCATGAAATTCCTGCAGCAGCCTGTCAGGGCAGAACAGCGAACATCAGAACGAGCGGAATCCTCCAGCATCACCTCTTGTGTCCTTTGGTTACTGTGCCCCGCACGCAGCGCATGCATACGCAATCATACGCATACATATGTTGATATGATATGTGCATGTTGAACACTCTGTGGAGTCCACCGGCCAGTGCTCCTGGCCACTTTATCAAACATTTCCCAAATAGTTTACTGATCCTAGTGACCGTTTTTCACATGTGACTCAAGCATTTGTTGTTTTCAAACATTGTTTTTATTTGCTTGCCGTTCCCAAACAGCTGGAGGCAATAGATATATAAGTGCAGACATTCCCTCCCACCAACATTAGAATTCAAGGAGTTGACGCTTAAACATATTGCTGACACTGTTTGTCGTCTATACTGGCCTATTTTTTTTTCATGCACCAGGAAAGCATTGCTTGTGAAAATAGCCAGGTCATGGTCCAAAGCGATCGTGCAAGAGGACGGCGAGATGTTCCACCCTTACGGTTTGCGTCCCAGTTACTAGTAGTTACTTGACCTTAGTAGCTATTATGGCCTACCCCCTCCCCGTGCAAACCAAAAACGATCAGGTCTCTGACTTTAGGTGGGTACTCTTCAGGCAACACCAGGGACGGCATCGGTTGGGCAGGGTTGTTTGCGTAGTGTAAACTTAGGGAGAAAACTCACAGTCCGATGAGTTCAAGGTCGTCGTTCTCCTGTGCGGCGACAGGAACCAATTCCACCTCAAGATGCTTCTGAGCTGAGTGTCCTTGCCGAATCGCTGCAATAAAGATACCCATAAATACACAAGAACGCACAGATACTCTTTGGCACCCTAAACTGTCCACCAAAAGTGTACAGAGCAGCTTGTGGTATGTGGTCCCACTAGTAAATAAGTTAAGTTCCGCAGAAAGCTGTGGGTTGAATAGTTAGTTTTCCTTTGTACATGAGCACCATTGTTTGGGTCCTGGGCCTGGGTGACATTTGCACAGATGTTTGATACTGTCGCAAGTGCTGATTCATCACACAGGGTGGGTGAAGAGACCCCTTCCAAGACTGATATATCCAAGCCAAGCTTTTTGGGATGCCGATGACGAGAAATCATGCTGACATACTGGGCAGCCGGTGTGCCCTACCCGAGTCGCTGCTCAATGATTCACACACGCACACACACACTTAGGATAGGGTGTACTGAACTGAAAGCGGTGCCACACGCCGGCCTAGGGTTCCAATTCCTAAGGGAACAAGTATGAACCACGGGAACCTGGAGGACTTTAAGAGGAAAGAAGGCCCAAAGC